TTTTACTAAAAGCAGGATAAATTTTAGAATTTAACTGAATTTGCAAGTTAAATGTGCATCACAAATTGGAGTATTAAGTACAATCATTAGAATTGACTTATAATTTATCATTAAAGACATACAAATCAAGTTCCAAAAAATGGGAAAAAAAAATCTAAAAATGGGAAATTAATGAAGCCAAATTCAAGTCAGCTTCCCAATAATGCACATTTTAAATTTCCACCATCACTAATATGATCGCAGGAGATGACCAAAAAAAACTAAGATGAAAAAATAGAGAAAAGTAATTTATAATAATGGAATAGACAAAATTTTCATTAATTACATTATGTAATATCCCGTCAGTTTATTAATATAAATCATGTTTTAGTTCCGATATATTAATATTGTCGAGTATTAATTTTCAGAATTAAGTATTTCAGTCATTTCAGTCGAGATTACCAGAAATTATTTTTGACGTTCCGTTTACGTTCGGAATAATTTTGGTAATTAGGTATTATGCTTAATTAAGTAATTAAGCACTTAATCATGATTAATTTAGAATTAGTCATGCTTAAGAGATCAATAGCCGTAGCAATTGATTTGTTTGGACCCATTTAATTTAAAAATGCCGTAGCATTTTTGTTATTAAGTGGAGAGGATTTTCCTTCAAAAGTTAGTAGTATGAGGTGTCATTCATTTGTAATGCTTAATGATGAGTAAGTTCATTTAGTGATGAGTTAGCATTAGATTAACTCTAATGAGGACAAGTGCTCAAATCCTAAGGCACCAACAACACCTCATCATCAACCCACCTCTTCGGCCACTCTATTTATAGGCGAGTGTTTGGGGAATTTTTTCCCCAAAATCCAGCCATATATATTCCATATATTCAGCATAGATAGTTAGAGAGAGTTGTGAGATTGAGAGGTTGGAGAGAATAACCCCATCGTACGCACACGCCACACCGCAAGCACCGTACGCACGGAGGCTCCGGGTGTTCCGAGCAGTTGAGCAATCAGCCGAGGGTTAAGAAGGTAACATCATGTTACCTGGTTATATTATGATTCAGGTCATGTTAGGATTAAGTTGAGTAAAACATGTTCATGACATAACTTACCTTGTTCTCGGCCGTGCGTGTGGTGTGTCAAGCCGTTCATGTTATAATATGAAATCCCTCGAGCAAATCTCGCATGCTTAGTTAATTTATGTGAAATCATGATCAGTCAGTTTAGATTGCTCGGAGTATGTTCATGTTTATGCGGTGTTTCGGCCAAAGGGACGTGGTCGCGCACGTAGCGCGCACCACGGGCCGGGCACTTCTAGCGAGCATGTTAAGTACAAGTTTTTCGAACACTTCGTGTTATTTTGTTCAGTAAATCATGTTTCATGTTCAGTTGAGTTTGAATTGCCGAGAGAAAATGAGGTTTGGTCGTTAAACGGCTTACCGCCGTCGGCGGCGCACGGTGCGCTCGCCGCGGCCGAGTCCAAATTTGAAACAAAAATTCATGATTTCAGGTTAATTCAGTAGTCATGTTCATGCCATGTCAGATTATGTTATTTGAAGTTGATTTGGTCGAGAGTTGTTGCCGGACGGCCGGCAAGGGCCGGCCGTGGCCGCGCTGCCCGCACGTAGCGG